TCGTCGGGACTGAACTGGTGGTTGCGGTACAAGATGCCGATCTTCAGGGCAATCTTGATCACGTCCTTGATGATCTTGTGCGCTTCTTTCTTGCTCTTGGTGAACTCCCGGGTCGCTTTGTAGAGCTCGTCCAGGATCTCGCTGCTGGTGTCGTCTGTAAGCATGTTGGCCACCGCCAAGGTCGCCATCTTGCTCAGGATCTTCTTTTGGGCCTGCATGGCCAGGGAGCGAGAGTTAAAGCTCTCCTGTCCTGAAGGAAGACAAAGGGAACAGAGAGCAGGATGTGAGACGAGAAGGTAATTCAAAGTTTCACAGCAACATCAAAAACCAGCTGAAAATGTTGCTTTTCTACAGCCTGTGTTCATAATGCTAACGGTCATTCATCAGAGCTTACAGGATGCGTACTCCATTTTACAGAGTCCTGCATGATGAGGTAACTTATTTGCACTTTGAAAATGACACATAATTACATGCTTACTGCAGATTACCAAAATAATTCACACTGTGTTTAAGGAGTACTTAAGGGATACTTTACTTTCCAAGAGAATTACATGTTTCTGTCACAAGCTGGCAAGTTATTTCCTGAATCTTTGTGAACATGTCCTTGAACCTGGATGATAATATTCCAATCCTTCTAAGTTCATTTTCTGGAACATCAAGGATACTTCTGCAAAACCTACAGGTTCACAAAACTGCCAAGTATGTTTTCTCAAGCTCTAAGAAATTTATTTTTTTATTTATTTATTTATTTATTTATTTATTTTATTTTATTTTTTTTCCTGAAAAACCTGAAAATATGTGAAACTTGAGAAAAATACCCTTTAAGTCCTTTTAGCCAACCTGTGTATTTCAGGTTACTGGTACAGGATGCATGTAAAGCAAACACACACTGGTCTCTGAAAGCGGTGAAATCCGAGCAGCACCTTGTAAGTTCTGGGAAAGTAAGTTGAATCTCCCAGGAAATGACTCTGTATTATTAAGTTTCAAAAAGTACCAGAAATGAAACCTACAAGCTGTTTAAGAAAGCAGCGTGTAGGTTCTAGAAAGTACCTTGCAGTCTTCTTTTTTTTTTTTTTATCTTGAGAACAGTGAGTCTTTGAAATTTTATCTTGATACTGTAAACAAAACACAGCGTGCATCCCTGTACGTGTTTATACTATGAGCTTTGACTAATCTCCGTGGTGTTCAGTGTGTTTGCACAAACCAGCTGAAGTCCATCTGGATAAATTAGCTTTTGAAACTGTTGACCTATTTGAAAAAAAAAAAAAGTCCAAACTTTTCTTTGACCTTACATTCATAACCCCCCCAAATAAGTATGCGCCGTTTTATTTTTAACAAAGCAATGCAGAGGTCTAACTATGTTCTCTGAACTTACTGTTGTGCGTTTATGCAGCTGGATGCAGTTGAGGTAGTTTCAGTAAATATGACAGCAAAATACAACCCATTCACAAACAACTGATAAATGTCAGGCAAACATCTGTGTACGTCACAGTGAATAAAGCTCATATAAAACAAAACAAATTTGAAACATGAGCACTCAAAACGAGGCGCAGCCTCATTCTGCGGCAGGGCGGCGGCCTCCCCGGAGCAGGCCGCCGTCTTTGGGAGGCTTCGCCGTCGGCTCTGGATCACGTCAAACAGCTGTCCTCTGATAGGAGTCTTTAACAAGTCCGGAAAACAAATCCCCCATTTTTTGTGGAGTCCCACTGGATCCACAATTTGTCCTGCAGAGGCGAACATGAAAGGCTCTCTGTTCGGTTATCCAGCGGGAGCCGGCAGGCTGGCACGTGTCGGTGTGAATGTGAGGAGTGGGGCTTTATTTAGGCGCCACCCAACTTCAAATGACACACCGGATAACTTCCTTTATGATTAAAGGCGAGGAGAGAGGCTTCACTTTTCTCTCCTGCTCCGCGGGCACATCGCCAAGCCTCCTCTTCCTCCTCCACATGTTCCTCTAAAGACGGGGAGAGGAGGAGGCCAAATTCAAGGAACAAGGCACAATTTGTCGCCACTGCGTTTTGTTTCTACCAGACGGATATTATTGGCATGTTTTAAATTCACACCAGCGTCGCATCATGATCTGCTTGTTTGCTGTGGAAATACAAACACAGAGCAGAGGTTGAGTGATGCCCCCCTCCACATCGGGGAGAAACCTAATCCGTGGCATTTCACATGAATGTGGAGAAGTGACATTTCATCTGTTGGTCTGAAGCTAAATGACATTTCATGAAATACAATTAGCCCGCCATGACATTTAACAACAAATAAGGCAAATTCCTTTGTCTACAGTCGTTCACTCTCCCCCAGCACCACCACAACTACGGCCCTCCTACTCCTTCGACAGGTCTGGTGCTCTTAACCAAAAAAATTAGCTGGGCTAATGACGAACCCACATTTGGTGGCTGGGAGAGACATAAACCAGCTGTTGGATGCCTGTGCAGTCTTTTGAGTTTATGCCCCATTTCAGTGGCGTCATGCCCCAGACTTTCAGTTTTCGGTGGTTATATTTTAGGTTGGCTGTCCAAAACTACGCGGTTTGTTCTGGGAAGAGTCATTCGTCCAGATGTTTGATCTGTTTGGATAACACCAGCAGAGATCTTCATTTAAATTGGTTCACATGAACCTTTGCAGTGTTGCTTGGTGGGTGTAAAATTATCACTTTGTGGAGATGGCTAACTTCAGGAGGGTTTTTTTTTTAGACCATTTCTGGGAAAGTTGATACCCAGAACTAAAAAATATAAATATATATTTATTTAAACAAAATAAAATATGAATATAAAGGTTGTGTGCAATGAAACTGATAGTTTCAGTGCGTTTATTTGATTCTAAGCGAGTTGCACAGATTGATGTTGGGTTTTAAATTTTTTTCCTCTTTTTTTCTTTTATGCGAACTAGTAATTATTGCCATGTCGAATATTGTTTTAACACATTTCATCAAACTCTTAAATGTTTTATGTTTAAATATTTATGTGGCCATTTCATCTGCTCAATTTTAAAAGGTAATTACCAAAACTCATTATATTTCAGCTATTTGTTTAATCACTACTCCACAACAGCCATTTTTTCCAACTATGTCTTTATGCTTATATGCACCAAAAATACTTTTCAGCATCTACCAAATCAGCTGAGAAATTTCGATTTATCCTGGGACTTCACTTCCTTTTCTGTAAAATCTAATTAAAAAAACATAATTTCATAACAGAAATAATCCCAGGAGGACACCTGGGATTTACTGAAAGTTTCTCCTTCTCACTGCTCTTCATGTGAAGAATAGCGACAGCACAGCGTGGGCTAAAAAAAAACAATATATCAACGTAAATATTACAAGTGCATGCTAGTTTCCATGATATTTGAATAGCAGCATCAGGGTGTGTAACTGGTTTTCATTAGTCAGATCTGCGCCGCTCATCAACAGGCTCTCTTTGTCACTGTCATTTCCCGTTTCTATCAAGCGGCTCTTTGTTCCAGCGAGCCTCTGATATTCAGAAACCCGACAGGACGCACCGATAAAGGTGACAGCCTGCTGGTTGTAGAGCTGCTCTGGATATGAGACTTTACCAATTTGTGGAGCCACTCGCTCTCTAAGCGCATTCATCTTTTGTTCATTAGAGAGATCCCTGATTATTACAATCAACGCAGATTGAGATAATGACTGCAGAGAGAGTTTGTTTCTGCTTCTGCGAGGCTATAAACAGGCCTCTGACGAGGTGGGTGATTCAGAGTCTGGCTAAAGATACAGAGCGAACGAGGGTGGATGATTACGGAAAGTGCACATGAAGACGCTGAGATGTCCAAGCTTTCTCACACACACACACTCGCATACAGCCTGTCACCCAGAGGCTGTGATGAACGACATGCATGAACCAGAGTGTCAGAAGGAGTTAGAGAAGAGTCCAAGCTGTCAGGAGAGAGAAGTGTCCGCCCTGTTCCTCGTCCTCATCCCGCTCCTGTACCGTCTCCGCTACCTGCTTGTTATTTTTACTGCCTCACTTGTCCTGAAGTGTTGAAATAAAGTAGGCGCTCCATGCGGCATGTGGGAATTCGCTGCTGGGAAACAAACCGCCGATGTTGGGGCCTTTGCACAAGCGCTGGCCCCATCAAAGCGGTTGAACACGAGTGCTGTGGGAGTTTGTGAAGTTTACTTTAACGTGAGGATTAGTAAGGTGCTTGCTGTTCTCTGCCTGTGGCTGTTGACCAGACAGTCTCTCTCTGTCCCGCCTGATGTTTTTAGAGGCCTGAGTCAACATTTTCTGCTGCGTTGCATCAGAGCATGCATCCAGTGTGGAACCTGGAGAACAGCCAGGCCAGCTCTGCCGAAGGCGTCTTTTGGCAGAAAGCGTCCAACTGGACAGATCATTTCCATTTTAGCCAGAAACACTCGCAGTGTATCAAGAAGAGGGTCTTAGATTTGTAATGAGTGATGAGCTTCAGGATGCAACTGAGATTAGATGTTGAGCTGCCAAGGAAAATGATCCATGTGTGAGGCAACAGCAGCATATTTAAACAAGCCTATGCATTTTTTTTTATTTTTAGTAGGAAAGATAAATAATTTAAAGTTTCTGTGGATGGAGTAGTTTTTATTTTTATCGAATAAGTAATGCTTATGTTCTCATTCGAGCCCTTGTGTGCAGCAACTCCAAGAAAAAAATTGCTCCTCCTGTTTCCCCCAAACTGACCATAGGATACTGCAGGTATACAGAGAAGCTCAGAAATCCGTTTTCCAAACCCAAGTCAGGCCTCGTTTCTCTGATGACTTCGATAAACATTCTCTCACTGGATGCATGCCATCTTGTCTGTCTACGGCAATCTACTGCTATGGGGCACACATAAAAATTATACAATTGTACAGCAGTCTTTTAATATGTGACGATGTGACTTAATATTGTTTGAAATACTCCTAAATGTAAACATGCAAAAAAAAAAAAAAAAAAAAGCTGAATTATTTTGAAAATCACTGAGGAATAATGAAAAGCTGTGACTCTGCAACAATAAACAGGTAAAGATGATGGATGGATGGAGTAAGAAATGATATTCAGCCCTTTACATAGAAAAAAAATAGCAACAATGAGATGACTTTTGTTCTGTGAAGAATCTGTAAATGTATTTGTAATGACATAGGTGGCACTTTTTAGTCCCTGTGTTCAAATTGGCCGGATGCTTAGAGTCGGAGCCTTTTCTTAAGAATGTTATGAGTTGCAGGATTTACAAGCTTATTTGAGAGCCACATGTACAAAGTACACAATAAGATCAACTAATTACAAGTTACAAAGTAAATACACAAAGTAGTGCGCGAATGAAAGCATGTTATTGCAATGCATTGAACAGGAAGTGCTTTTATTTTGAAGTGACTGTTTGACGCCAGCTGAGCAGCGAAAATGTCGACAAGCTAAGCTTTGAAAAGACCTGAGTTAAAATTTTTAAGTTTGAGAGAAATCCATGAGCTCAAGACTTTAAATCTCCAACTAACATAATTAAATTGTTATGAGTTATTAATAAGCCACATCCAGGAATGTACCATGGCTAATAAATCAAATGTACCATTTTACGGGAAAATATGAAAAACCACCTGTCAGAGCTTCTCTCTGTGGCTTCAAGCATAAAGACTTACCTCTATCAATGGATTAATGAGATAAAGATGAACTTTGACTCTCTCAGGAGTTGAATTCTGGGACTTGAATCACAGTTTCTTAAGTGAAATGACCACTTAAGTGACCACTTCATTTGTGAACATAGTACCATATTATTGGATTGAATCTTTCTATTATGAAAAGAATCGGCAAAGAATAAATCAAATTCGTATTGAGTAAAATAATGGAGGATCAGTCAATTATCCATAAAGTCAACAAAAAATAAACGGACAAAGTTGATTTTGACACCTTATCAGATCTGAATGTGTTGCAAAGATAAACATCAAGTAGGTTAATTTTCTGGACATTTTCTGTCGTAGTCCGAATGCTAAATGGGGCTCGGATCCCAATGCTTGTGTTTGTCTCATTCCAGAGTAACCAGAAGAGTGAGCCATCAGCGGGGGCCGGTGGCTAACGCGGAGGAGCGCGGCTGGCCTTCACTGAGTCAAAGCCAGGGGGGAATTATCAGCCGGATCGCAGCAGAGCACACACGTCTGACTGAGGCGGCCCTGTAAGCCCGCGAATGTAAGTTATTTTAAGGTGTGCTTTGCTTCATACCTCAACGGCAGAGAGAAGCAAGTTCAGGGCAGCTGAATATTTGCAGCCGTCGTCACCATGAAAAGAATGAGTATCTGTCAGGATATCTGGAATATTTTAGGAACGTGTGGATGATGATGGCGCAGCAGGGACATAGGAGAAAATAGGATTGGTCTCTGCTCCTCGTGGCGGATTTGATGACATTTCTGTCACTGGCGTAACAGAAATGTCATCAAAAGTATTCAAAAATATTTTTACCTAATAATTAAGCATACATGATTTGAATTGGATGTCATGTAAATTAGAAAAAAAAATATCCAGAAGCCCAAACCTGCTTAAAATACAACTTCATAAGGATCGAAATAGGAGGCGTTGAATGACTTATGATATAAAAAACCATCAATGTAATTAGAGCAGTTTAAATATGATCTTAAGTTTATTTTACTTTCAGCTGTGGAATTTGCCACTGGCAATAAGCTGGGGACATTCAATCCCAAAGACCCAAATATTAAGCTTACAGCAGGATTTCTATTCTTTTTTATGTGCTTTTAAATGTGGACCAAAACTAGGAAATATGTTTCCTATAAAGGTATGTGATAAGCTCACTGCAAAGCGAAAGTATCTCTCCCATATAAACGTCTCTGTCAACACAAGTATGGCAAGCTGATTTATCATAAAACAAATACAAGGTCCTTCAAAGCAAATATTCCTAATTAAAATGATCAAGTGAAAAATAACATTTAACTGCAGTTTAGTGCAGTTATTTAACACATATAATTTAATGTTGGTTCTCTGAGAACATAAAATCTAAGCTAATGGATATTAAATCTGTGCAATTCTGAACTGTGCGCATGTGTCGAATTCACACAGTTTTGCTGAATGAGGCACGTCTAATGTCTTACAGACATTATGATGCTCCACGAGTATCCTTGAGGGATCAAATAATTTTGAGGCGACTCAATCAGAACGTATCAGAAATCTTCATTAGTGCAAGCAGCACAGTTTAGCATGGGATTAAATAAGGTTATCATTAGTTAACTGCTGCTTCATTTGAGTTGCAATCCTGGTTAATCTGTAGAAATGGTGCACATGTGTGAACAAAGGCCATCATTAAGAAAGTAAACTATCTGGATAGAACACAGCGTGCTTTCATTTGGGAAAGCCAGATGTGTCTTTTTAACGATGCTAGCCGAACAACAGCAACAAATCTGATGGAGACGTGTTAATATTTTACTGACTGTCAGAACAATGGTGAGCATACGAGCAATTAATCGGCTGCATTCTGAAAAAAAAAAAAAAAAAGTTCCCGGGCAATAAATCAAACGCACCCTCACATAGAAGACTCAGCTCTGCTCCGTCAGACAGACATGTGGTCTGTGGCTCACAAATGGTTTACCTTCACCTCTAATTAGGGGTGATGCTATGTAAACCACAGACTCACATTCTGACTCCAATCTGAAGACTTTGTTTTTGGTCCTTAAGTGTAACTCAAGTCCAGATCTGAGACGCACGTCTCCTTCTCTGCCACGCAACGATAAGCAACAAGTATGTCTCAGGCAAAAAGGCAGATGAAAACAGTGAAGAAGAAGGAAACTTGACCAAAATGACAAAATCCGTCTCTGCAATTGTCATCTGCAGTCGGTTTACCACTAATATGGTATTGATTTATATTATATAGACTTTTTTTTTTCTTCTTTATGTTGGTTCCCTCAGAGTAATGTGGGTTCAGTTCCAGCTGGAGCCTTTCTGTGAGGAGTCTCCATAATCTCCCAATGATTTGTGTGGGTTTTCTCTGAGGACTCAGGTTTCCTTCTACAGTCCAAAACAAGCGTATTTGGTGAAAAGGAGATTCTAAATTGCCCTGAGTTGAGGGTGTGTGGTAAAGTGTTCGGTGTCTCGCTCTGGTGATCTGTCCAGGTTGGGCCCCACCTCGACCTTACGACCATAAGGTCGACACGGACAAACTCGTTTTACCCCCTTAGAAGGACTGCTGTTCCTAGATGGCGACATTGAAAAAGAAAAATATGATTCATACACACAAAACCTGTTTGAGGTTGTTGGTGATAACATGTGTCCAGTATGTACAAAACCTGGTTAGTCTACCAGAACAGGTGCAAGAGACGTATTTCCAGCCAACACTGAACATTATTATCTGGGTACACTAGAGACATGGAGGTCTATGGACATTCATTTCATATGGCTATGCCTGAATCAGTTAGGCCTGTATTTACTTTTCCTCCCAAAAGATTTGCATTTATTGCTCTTTCCAAAAAGTGTTACTTCAAACAGCCAAACAATGAAGGCTGCTGACAGACGGCCTGTTTTTCCAAAGTGCATAAAGGTGGAAGAGTGCTCTTTCGACGGCAACAAACAATAAATAAAAAAAAATAAAAAAAAACGCTGTTGATTTCTGCAACACTTCTTTGAAACCCATTTATTGCCATCAAAAGTTTTGGCTGGTCATTTTCTTTCCATCTGCAACCAATTTTCCATTCACAGGCAGCCCTGTTTTGTAAATGCACAAGTGGATACCAGGTCACACTTTGAACCCCGTAAAAGCTGACACAGCTATAATTTCCCCAGACATGTTTTTCCATTTCTTGCAATTTCCTTAATTTCCTCTGGGCCTCCAGGTGTGTCATAAAGTCGACCTTTAGAATTTGCGTTTCACATACAAGTAAGAAGCTCGCGATTGGACCGAAAGGGGGGAAAAAAAAGTCTAAATAAGGCGATTCTTTGTGAAGTTTAAATCCACAGAGCACAAATACAGCTTCAACAAGCCCTGAAGGCCACTAGTGGAAAGAGCTCCTCATAGAACAGGAGGCTGACAGCTGAACTTCCTCCTGCATTGCCTTGGCTCCCTGGTTTGCCTTTGGTTGAATATAAGGAGCTGCAGCAGAGCCTCTCTGACTGGATTTACAAGGCTTGAGCAGAACAATGGAGCGGGTCACTCAGCAAGACTTAAACGGGGGTTTAATAGCTTGCTGGGTAAAGTGTTAAACAGGCCTGAGAGGCCAGTGGATTTAGGAAGGGAGCAGAGGAGGCGGCCTGTGCCAGCTGGTAGCACTGGAGGAAAGGCTTTTATTTTTGAGTCCGAGACTCGAGAGCTTCTCTCTTCCTCTTCTGGAGAGCACAAATAGATAGTAAACACTGCAAATTATATACCGACTTTCATATGTGATGGGAAAGGGAACAAAAAAAAAAAAAAAACAGAAGGAATGAAATGTAGTCATTTTTGTCTCCTCACTTTGGATCTGCACCACGAAAATGTATTTTTGACTCCCACAACACGACACAGATGACTCAGACACGCCGCCCCTGCACAATCGCAGTCTGTTATATTGCGTGTGTGTGTGTGTGTGTGTGTGTGTGTGTGTTTGTTTCTGGATGAAAGTAAGTGATTGCAATTGAGAAAGATACAATATCAAACATGAGAAGGACCACGGGGACAATGCAGCGTTGTAGCAAGTGTTGTTCAGCGGCGCGGCAGTCTGCAAAGGCCAAACCTGAGATGGAAGATGCCATTAGCAGCTGCTCAAGATGTAGGGGAGCAGTCAGAGCTTCGAGGTTAATAAATAACTCGGTTTGAATATCTCGATGACCGGCACCTGAATGAAGTGGGGTCATGGACTCACCAGTCTTTATAGATGTAGATCAGTTAGAGTTGTGAATGTGACGGCGGAAGTCGCCTCAATGGGTTTAAAACCTTAGGAATCACTAACTCGCACATGAAGACAAAGTGAGTCCTTTTTTTTTTTTTGCCGTGTTTTACTTTTATGCAGGTGATACTTTCTCTGCTTGGCCTACTTTTTATTTGTGGAAACTGTAAGAGGCAAAAAAAAAAAAGAGCCTAGATTGCACAATGAAAATATCAGTAACTTGAAGACAAAGAACAGAAATGAACAAGACAGTAAGTGAATCAAATCGCTCAGATTTATGTTTAATACAGTATGTGACATTTACATGACTTGAATCTGATGGAGAATCGGTGGAGGGAGCTAAAGATTAGGGTGATGGCAAGAAGCTCTTCACTCCTTAATAACTTAGAGATCATCTTTAAAAGTAAATCTGTAAAAAGCTGTTAAGCAATTAAAAAAAAACATTTGATCAGTTTGGCCTCAAAGATTTTTCTAATGATTAGAATGAAAGTATCAGTAATTCTTGACATGTAATTTTCTAATACAGCATGAATAAAAGGACAAATTATTTTTTTTATTATCTATTTTACATGGCTTTGTTTGGTAGTTTTGAATCAAAGTCCTGACAAAAGATGATGATGCTCTTTAATCTCTAAGTTGCTTTTTAAATCACTGAAATGGTGAATACATTTCCTTTAGTTTTTGCAAACAACTTACTGAATTATTAGATGCATAAATGCCAAAATAAAGTTAAAACAGTGACATCTTCACACACTTTTGGCAGAATTTGAGAAGTGAATAAGTTTCATTTCCTTCTTCCGTTAAAATGCAGTGATAAAAATTACTTTTCAAAACAAAGCTTGACATTTTAATAATAACCCCCCACGTTGCCTCGGGTGTTGTTGAACAAGATCTGCTGATATCTCCGTTACAGGCTTGTGTATTTAGAGCTGAAACCTTACTGCCGCATTCGGAGCGGCTGCAAATACGACACGTTTCCAAAATCTGACATCTAGAACAAACTGTTCCTTCTGCTGTTTTCACATCCAGATTCCAATTTCATCTCCGCAAAAGACTTTAGACTTCTTTAGATGTTCAGAAAAACAGAGGAAAAGAAAAGCAACATGTCGTAAGTTGCCAGAGCTGCTTCGACGCACGAGGGCATTAATTTTACAGATGTTGGAATTACCAACAAAGGTTGGATGCACTGAAAAATTCACTTCTATGATGATGGGAGTCAAACACATTTGTCTAAGATTTCCTGCTGCTTTTTAGTTGTTGGCTGGTATTTGGAAAATGTAAACTTCATCCACAGTCGTCCCCATATTTAACACAAAATGCAGGGTCAAG